ATAAGGATACAATAAAATAACCAAATTAAATTGGTTTTTCTCATTTACTGCTGATGACATTAAAAACTGGTACAATTCTGAAAAGAAATTTGGCAGTATAGAAGAGATCATTATAAAATGGTGATTTTCATTTGTTCTAGTAATTTGACTTCTAAGGATTTGTTTTAAAGAAATAATAAGAAACCCAGAAAATATTTTCATGTACTGGGATGCTCATCATAGTATTATTTATGAGCTATCAATGTAAATGTTCTTTTAGAAGCTTAAGGGACATATCTTCTGAGTATACTGAATTTCCACTGGAACTTGATATTTATTTTCTAGTTAAAAATAAGGTCATAGTCTATTGCATAATTTAAGCTCATTTCTATAGAGCTGATATAAATACAGTCACTATGTATAAAATGGTGTTCATAACAAAAGGGTTCCAAGGTCTAGACACAATATTTCTTTCTTTATTATTAATATATATTTTTTACATCATTGCTTATTTTTGTACAATGTATGCTTGTATGGTTTCTCCTTTCAGGTGTATTCCCTGTAAAATTCCCACCACCAATTTACCCATGAACCATTACCATAGTCCCTTGTGCTCTCCTCTCCCCTGTTTTGATTCTTCTACCTCTTCCTCCTTTCCAGAATATCTCTGATATTTAGTTGCCTACTAATTAATTAATTTATTTATTTTTATTGTTATTGTTATTTTTTCCCTGATCCCTTATTTGGTTCCCCTCTATTCCGCCTAGAAGTGAAAACATATGATATTTTTCTTTTTCCTTTCTGGCTTATTTCACTGAGCATAATCCTTTCTAGCTCCATCCATGTTGCTGCAAATGGCATGAGTTTATCTTTTTTGATTGCTAAGTAGTATTTCATTGGGTACATACCACATCTTCTAGATCTAGTCATCTATTTTTGGGCATTTGGGTTTCCATATCTTACCTATTGTAAATAGTGCTGCAGTAAACATAGGGGTGCAGGTATCATTTTGAATTAGTGTTTTTCTGTTTGGGTAGATTCCTAGGAGTGGAATTGCTGGATCATATGGTATCTCCAGTTTTAGTAGTTTGCGGAACCTACACATATCTTTCCTTAGTGGTTGAACCAGTTTGCATTCCCACCAGTAATGTAGGAAAGTTCCTTTTTCTCTACATCATCGCCAACATTTGTTGTTGCCTGTTTTGTTTTTTTAAAGATTTTATTTAGTTTTGCATAGAAGAACTGGGGTACAGGCCAGAGGTATGGGGGGGGGTGGGATAGAGGATTCACCAGAGACAGCATGGGGAGCAGAACAGGCATATTTACTTAAAAAACATTGCTGAGGGGAGCAGTGAGTAAGACAGGAGAGGTCTGCTGTGCCATGTGGGTTAGCTCCCTGGCTGGGGATCTTACTCTGGCCATGTGGGTGATAGCTCTGAGACTTAACCCCTATGGCATACCCGGCCCTGTTGCCTGTTTTTTCTTTCATATGTGCTGTTCTCACTGGTGTAAGGTGGTATCTCTTTGTGGTTTTGATTTGCATTTCCTTGATTATAAGTGATGTTGAACATTTTTCATATACCTATTGGTCATTTGCATTTCCTGTTTGGAGAAGTGTCTTTTTAGCTTTGCTGCCAATTTTTTAACTGATTGTTTATTTTGTTTTTAGTGAGTCTTGTGAGCTCTTTGTAGACCCTTGTGATCAGTCCCTTATCAGTCAGTTGTATTGTGTGCAAAAATTTTCTCCCAGTCAGTAGGATATCTCTTTGTTTTAGTTATTGTCTCTTTTGCTGTATAGATGCTTTGTAGTTTGATGCAGTCCCAGCTGTTTATCTTTTCCTTCACTTTTTCTTTGCTTTGGGGCATGTAGACATAATAGATATTTAAATGAACTCTTAAGTTGACTACTGACTCAGGTAGCATAAATGTGTAAGTAATTTCTTAGGTATTATAATAGAAGAATAGGTATTAGATGGAAGAAAAGAATCTAGGGCCGGGAGGAAAAGTAGGGATGGAAAGGGGATTAAAAAATTGATAGGTAATAAAAGATAATTTTGCTTCTTTGAAAATATAATTTTAGTTATTTTTAGTCTGACTTTTTTTCATCCATGAATAATGCTCTGTATTGAAGTAATTCATATACCTTACAAATCACCTCTGTGTTATTGCATTTAATTCTACAACAACTTTGTTAATAAGACTTGGTATTTTTAGTTTAGAGATGCAGAAGTGGCAAATTCAGAAAGGTTAAACAATTTACTTAAATATTCATTGTTTGAAAAGTATAGATTTTAAAATAAGTAATATATATATAGTGATTAAGAATACTAACTCTGAAGTGAGGCTGCCTGGGTGTAATATCTTACTATTAGTTCTGTCTATGACTTGGTCTCCTTATAATGTCTTTTTAACAGAATTGTTGTGAAAATTAAATAAGCTAATCTAAGAGCTTAGAACATTCTTGGCACATTAATAAAATATCCAACTTTATCCAAATGTATCATAATTGGATTTTATAATTGTACAATGTTTTATATTTTTATTTATTTATTTTTATTTTTTAAAGATTATTTATTTATACAAGAACCGGGATACAGGCCAGATTTGTGGGAGGGTGAGAGGATTCACCAGAGACAGAGCAGGGAGCAGAACAGGCAGACTGATGAAATACACTGCTGAGGGGAGCAGTGGGCGCAACAGGAGAGGTCTGCCGCGCCATGTGGGACCCTTGCTGGCTGGGATCAAACCAGCCCTGCAGAGGCTGCGGACAGCTTCACAGCGCTGTGCTCAACTACCTGGGCCACCAGGGGAGGCCCATGTTTTCTATTTTTAAAAGGTATCTCATTTATAATCCCATTTGAGCCTTTCAACCGGCTTTTGATTTAGGCAGAAAAGTTACTACATTTATTTTGTGGTTTTTAAATTATCATGAAATAATTTACTCACATTTATATAGCTTTTATTTTTTTTAAAAAGATTTTATTTACTTTTGCATAGAAAAGCTGGGGTGTAAGGCTGAGGTGGAAGTGGGGAGAGGATTCACCAGAGACATTGTGGAGCAGAGCAGGTGGATTTACTGAAATACACTGCTAAGGACAGCAGGTGAGATGAGAGGTCTGCTGTGCCATGTGGGTTAGCTCCCTGGCTGGAGATCGAATTCAGGCTGTTGTGAACTCTCGAGGTGGGCAGGTGGGCCATCTAAGTGATAGTTCTGAGACTTAACCCCTTAGCCACGAGGGAGGCCCTGTATAACTTTTAAATGATAGGGTAGGGTCAGAAAACCTTACCCTTATCTAGATTTTCTGACAACAAATTCCATCTTCCTTTCATTACATCACTCTAATAAAATGCAAAATAAAAGACTGTATTCATTATTTCTAAATGTGAAGATAAGTTTTGATGAACATTTTTGTTTGATCTGGATATGAAAAGTTACTGTATTTTTATTGTGGAGGTTAAAGAAATTTAAAAAATGCGTAGTGAAATACTATTATTTTAAATCCTTGTTAATATTTTGACAGTATAGTTTTTCTCCCCTCAGGTGCGGTCACCATAGTTCTCCTACTACCAGAACACCATCATCCTCCATCGTAGTCCATTGTGCTCTCCCCACCCGCTCCCAACCCTTTCCCCTTTCCCCTTTCCCTCTGATGCCTCAGATCTGTGATCAGCTTGTAGTGTTTGTCTGATTCTTTCTCTGTATTCCATATATAAGTGACACCATCCAGTATTTATCTTTATTTTTCTGGATATTTCAGTTAGCATAATCCCTTTCAGCTCTATCCATGTTGCTGCAAATGGCTTGAATTTATCTTTTTTGATCGCTGAGTGGCAAGTAAACCATTCCACCAATCTGTTCTTGGACATTTAGGTTATTTCCATATCTTGGCTATTGTAAATAATGGTGCAGTAAATATAGGACTGCAGGTTTCCTTCTGAATTAGTGTTTTTGTGTTCTTTGGGTATATGCCTAAGAGTAGATTTGCTGCTGGGGTCAAATGGCAGAGCCATTTTCAGTCTTTTAAGGAGCCTCCACACAGTTTTCCATAGGGGCTAGACCAGTGTACATTCCCATCAACAGTGTAAGAGGGTTCTTTTTCTCCATACCCTCATTGGCACCTGCTGTTTCTGGTCATTTTTTTTCAAAGATTTATTTATTCATGCATATAAGAGCTGGGGTACAGGCCAGAGATGCGGGGGGTGAGAGGATTCACCAGAGACAGAGTGGGGGACAGAACAGGCAGACTGACTGAAATACACTGCTGAGGGAACAGTAGGTGAGACAGGAGAGGTCTGCCTCGTCATGTTTGTTGCTCCCTGGCCGGCCGGGGATTGAACTCATGCTGCAGAGGCTATGGATTGCTTCATAGTGCAGTGCTTAACCCCTTGCCAGGGAGAACTCTGGTCTTTTTTAACATAGGTCATTTACTGGTATGAGGTGGTATCTCATTGTGGTTTTGATTTGTTTTTCCCTGATGTTAAATGATGATGAACATTTCATATGTCAGCCATTTGTTTATCTTCTTTGGAGAAGTGCCTATTTAGCTCTTCTGTGCACTTTTTTTATTAGGTTATTTGTTTTCTTTTTGTTGAGTTGTACAAACTTTTTGTAGATCTTTAATATAAGTCCTTTGTTAGATGAATGGTGTACAGATATTTTCTCCCATTCAGTATGGTGTCTCTTTGTTTTGGTTATGGTCTCTCTCTCTCTGCAGAAGCTTTTTAGTTTGGTGTAGTCACAATTGTTCATATTCTTTTTTGTTTTCTTTGCTGCTGGGGATAAATCTGCAAAGATTGCTAGAGCTTATGTCATAGAATGTGGTGCCTATGTTTTCTTCAATGTATTTTATGGCTTGAAGTATTATATCCAAGTCTTTTATCCATTTTTGAAGTTATTTTTGATGAGAAAAATATTTCCTTGATATTATAACTGTGTTCTATGTTTGATTCTGTGCAGTTATATAAAATGAACTAAAATTATTAATATTCATACTTTTTTTCTAAAAATTTTTTTTTAATAGCTACATCCTCATCTGCAGTTTCTGCACACTCTCCATCAGTTATTGTAGCTGTTGTAGAAGGAAGAGGACTTGCCAGAGGTGAAATAGGAATGGCAAGTATTGATTTAAAAAGTCCACAAATTATATTATCTCAGTTTGCAGACAACACAACATATGCAAAGGTATGTATTTCTAATCCTAGAAAATGGTTAATCCAGTAGGCATTATGTTGATTTTCAAGTCCGTGCTTTCCTAATTAATTTACTTTTTGGTAGAATAAAGTTACCCATGTTTGCATCAGCATAGGTTATTCTAAATTAAAATGAAATTGTGTTACATCTGATTTTACATTTTCAGTGTATTTTGTCCTAAAAATAATGTGCTTTACACTATTACTTGAACATTCCAAATTATTATACTATTAGTTTTGAGAATTAATATCTTTAATGATTCTTTTTTTAAAAAAGATTTATTTATTTATATAAGAACTGGGGTACAGGCCAGAGGCGCGGGAGGGTGAGAGGATTCACCAAGAACAGAGCGGGGAGTAGAACAGGCAGACAGACCGAAGACACTGCTGAGGGGAGCAGTGGGCGACACAGGAGAGGTCTGCCGCGCCATCTGGGTTTCTCCCTGGCTGGCCGGGAATCAAACCGGTGCTGCAGAGGCTGTGGACAGCTTTACAGTGCTGCGCTTAACCCGCTGCCCCATCAGGGATGCCCTAAATTAATGATTCTTAGACTCATTAACAAAATAATACCTGTGATAATGCTAACTTCAGAGGGTCTTCTGAATTGTATTTGAATGTTATTTTTCATTGTTAAGGGAAACTGGTTTCTTAGCTGTCATAATTTAGTCTCTTACCTTCATTCCTATAACTTGTCAGTTTGGGCCACTGGCCTGTTTTCATGGGAATTTGTGTGATTTATCAGGTAGAAGAGTCTACTTCTAATTTCTATATTCTAAAGTTTATTTGGCCCAATTACTAATATTTAATACAGTATTCTATAATATATGGTGTATTTTTCTTATTCCTTAATTTTTTAAATTAACTAATTTATTTTTAATTGAGGTAAATTTTAGATACCCTCATCAGGTATAGTGATAGACTACCATAGTGCTCTCACCACCAAACTAACCCAAAGACCATCACCATGGTCTATTGTGCTTCCCTCCCTCTTTGTTCTTACCCCTTTCACATCCTCTCCACATCTTGGTGCTTCAATTCAGTCAGCTGTCAAAGGTTAGTTTTTAAGCTTGTCTTTATCTGACTCTTAGTTTAGTTACTTTATATTCCGTATTTAGTGATACCGTATGGTATTTATCTTTCTCCTTCTGACTTATTATCTCTTCCAGCTTCATCCATAATGCTGCAAATAGCATGAATTTATCCTTTTTGATTGCTGAGTAATAGTCTATTTTATATTTATACTGTATCTTGATTCACTCATTTGTTTTGGGGCAATTAGGTTGTTTCCATAATTTAGCTGTAGTAAATAGTGCTGCAATAAACATGGGAGTGCAAATTGCTTTTTGAATTAGTGATTTTGAATTTTTTGGGTGGAGACCTAGGAGTGGAAGTACTGGGTGGATGGGTGTTCCATTTTTGATGTTTTGAGACACCTCCACACTACTTTCCATAAAAGCTAGACCAGTTTGCATTCCCACCAGCAGTGTAGGAGCGTTCCTTTTTCTCCACATCTTCACCAGCACTTGTTGTTTCTGTTCTTTTTGATATGGGTCATTCTCTTAGATGTGAGATGTTGTCTCAATGTGGTCTTGATTTGCATTTCCCTAATTATAAATGATGGTGAACATTTTTTCATGTGCCTGTTTTCCATTTGTATGTCTTCGTAGAAAAAGTATCTGTTTAGTTTTTCTGTCCATTTTTTTTTATTTTTTTATTTTTTTATTTTTTTTTAATTTTCTAGAGGCATGTCTTATTTATTTATTTATTTATTTATTATTTGTTTGTTTGTTTGGTTTATACATGCACTGGGTACAGTCAGAAGCGCGAGAGGGTGAGAGAATTCACCAGAGCCAGAGTGGGGAACAGAACAGGCAGAAGGACCGAAGTACACTGCTGAGGGGAGCAGCGGGCGGCAGGAGAGGTCTGCGCACCATGTGGGACCCTCCTCCGGTGGCCGGGAGCAGCCGGGGATCGAACCGGCGCCGCAGAGGCCGCGGGCAGCTTCGCAACCCAGCGCTCAACCGCTGCGCCACCGGGGAGGCCCCAATTTTTTGATTGGGTTATTTCATTTGTGGAATTTTATGAGTTCTTTGTATATGTTTGATATCAGTCCTTTGTCAGAAATAAGGTGTACGAATATTTTCTCCCATTCGGTAGGGTGTCTTTTCATTTTATTTATGGCTTCTTTTGCTGTGCAGCAGCTTTTTAGTTTGATGGTTTTCCAATTATTTATCTAATTCCCCTCTGTAGTCCCTAGCATGTAAGTTTTCTTTTTCTCAATAAATTTTTGGCATAGTTACCCTAAATAATATTAGTACTGCATAATAAGTTTGTCTCTGGGTCCTTTGATTTTTTTTTTTTTTTGCATAGAAGAACTGGGGTGTAGGCTATAGGTGTGGGGGGTGAGAGGATTCACCAGAGACAGAGTGGGGAACAGAATAGGCACATCTACTGAAGTATACTGCCGAGGGGAGCAGGGGGCGAGACAGAAAAGGTCTGCTGTGCCATATGTGGTTAGCTCCTTGGCTGGGGATCAAACTTAAGCCATATTGGTGATAGTGATGAGACTTAACTCCTACACCACAAGGGAGGCCTGTACATCACATTTTTTTTTAAAGATTTATTTATTTATGCATATAAGAGCTGGGGTACAGTCCAGGGATGTGGGGGGTGAGAGAACTCATCAGAGACAGAGTGGGGAACAGAACAGGCAGAATGACTGAAATAAACTGCTGAGGGCAGCAGCGGGCGAGACAGGCGAGGTCTGTTTTGCCATGTGGGTCTCTTCCTAGCTGACCGGGGATCAAACTCGTGCTGCAGAGGCTGTGGGTTTCTTCATAGTGCAGTGAGTGCTTAACCCCTTGTGCCACCAGGGAGGCCCCCGTATATCACATTCTTTATGTAATTCAAAAAAAAAAATAGGAAAAAAAAAGATTGAAAAGACACTGCATATAGGCATATTGATTAAGAATAAATGTCTTTATAGTTCTAAGAAATGTATCTTATGTTGTGCATTTAGTCATAAAGCAGATTTTTCCCATCTGTATTTCTTTACTTTTCAATTACTGAGCTATATCAGTGTGACCATACTAATTATAGCGCCATAGTTATGTTAGGAATGTGTTTATGTTCTTTCTGAAGATGGATAAAATGTTGACCAGAAGAATTTATTTTAAATTCTTTCTTATTTTAGAAAGACATATTTGATAATACAAATTAATTCTTATGCTTAGAATTACTGCAAACTTATGAGAAAAACATAGCCTATGTTTATGATAATTTTATGATATACTTTAATATATAGTTATTAGAATTATTTTTAATTAAAATATTTAATTGGGATAGTTGAATTTTGTATACATATGAATTAATTTTAAGTTATCTCTCATAGAAATATGAAACTTTGTTTCAGAGAATCTTAAGCTTATATTTAAGAAATTATTCAAACAATTTTAGGTTATTACTAAACTCAAAATTTTATCACCTTTGGAAATAATAATGTCAAATACTGCATGTGTTGTGGGGAATTCAACCAAGTTGTTCACAATGATCACAGAAAATTTCAAGGTAAGTAATTTTTATTCTTAATAGTAATATTCAAGATCTTTATTGAAAGACTCACTTTGTAACATTATTATAAAGAATAATAGTTTGAGAATTCAGCACCCTAAAATACTCACTAAATACAAGTCTTAATCTAAGGGACTGTTAACATATACAATAAAAATGACAAAGAACCCACTTATTTAATTTGGTACCTTTGGTCTATTTTAAACAAAAGGAAAAATGTTTTAGGTAATGAGGAGACTTATCATTATACAATAGGAAGATCCTTAGAGAAATTACAGATTTCCTTAGGTATAGCTCCCTGGAAACTAGCTGTGTTGTGAACCTAGTTGCAACTGAAGTTCTTGTTCTTCTAGGGGGATAAAAACCTTTAGTAAGTACTTTTTCTTTTAGAGAATTTGAACTTTATTACAGAATTCTTTCAGTTCCCTTGTAGTTACCCCACTACTATAGTCTCTTTCAATTGGAATGTGGCAGATAAGTCCTCTGAAACCTAATACAACCAATACCCTTCTCAGTAAGGACCTTTCTACCATGTAGTTTATCCCTTTCCTCTAACAAATCTCCCTGATTTGTGGAGTAAGGATTGTGATTCCAAACCAAATAGGCAGTCATGCTGTTGGATTAATTCCCAAGGAGTGCAAATTATTTTTAGAATATACTATATTTTGTTATGTTTATAGACTTATCTTTCACACATTTGGAGCCAAGCTAAGATTGAGGGTCTAATGAGTTCTTTATTGTTTTTATTATATTCAGCATTTGTATTCATGGGAGATCTGTTTGGTGCTCTTAGATGTCCTTTGTAGCTCAACTGCCTGACTCATTGCCAGAAATTGTGCAATATCTCTATTAGATGAATTAATTCAAAATTCTTTTCATCACCCCTATTTACATATACCTCTACAACTTTTGTTATTTTGGTCTGATTAGACATTCTAAATTTTTTGATTACAAATAAGAGAAATTAAACTAGCTTAAATAAAAAGGAACATTTTGGAGGCTGTGTAACTTCAAAGCCAAGTAGTTAGATAGACCCTATTCCTACTCGCATTCCCTTCACTAATTTTTTTTTTTCATGCTGTAGATAGATTACCTCTATGAGGTTTTAAAGATGATTGCTGTTGCCTGTGGACTGATGTCATCCCAGCTTAGTCAACTCAAAGATAAGGTTTTTTTCTAGTATCCAAATATGAATTTGAGGGAAGGATCCTAACTGTTCCTGCTTGTTCATGTTTCCACTTGTTATACTAATCACTGTTTCTAGGGTAGAGGAGCTATGATTGATTAATATCAGGTCATTTGCTGACATTGCTGGTAGCAGAGTACTATAATTGACATTCCTACCAGAACCACATACAGTGTGGCATGGATAAATGCAGCAAAGCAAAACAACGTGTATTTACTACACTTGAGATTTAAGGCAGTTTTACAATAGAGATTCAAATCCTGATTCTAAGTGACCTTGTGCAAGTTAGGTTACTTAATCTTGTTGGGTTTCAGGGTTTTTTTCCCCACTAGTGAAATACTATAATAATAGGTATAATTCCGAGAGAACTGATATTTTACATAGGATAATGAGAAATGTATTCATTGGTTAGGTTACATTAAGGCAACAAATTACATTTACATACTTAGGATAAAAGTATTAGTAGCAGAGGGAAAAATCGACATTATCATTATTGCCACACTTATCATAAAGAGACCTTCATTAAGTTAAAAGCATTATGAGTTGGCGGGATCATAGATTTTGTAGTTAAAGAAGTCTAAAGTCAAATCTCAGCCAGGCCACATATATTAACTTCTATGATATTGGAAAAGTTACTTCACTTTTCAGAATTTTATTTGCAGGAAAATTGGAGTTAGTAAGACTTACTGCATAGGGTTATTATAATGATATCGTTAAGACAATCTTGGCACATGAAAAATCCCTTCTGACTCATGATTTTTTTTTGACTTACAACTCATAATTCATCATTACTCATCACTCTCCTTATCTATTACATACCCTTTCAAAATAGGTAAATGTTTTACTCTGTACTGCATGCTTTTCCCCTGTCTCTTTTTAAAAGTTCTGTTATTTCCTTTATTCTAAATAAATGAAATTCACATCACGTAGATAGCATTTCATGGATTTAATAACTGAAATTGGTGTTTTCATTTTCAACTAATGTACAAATTATTAGAGTATGTAAGGCTGAATGTAAAACTTATGTGATGATGTTGCTGTGAACTAAAATTACCAGAAGGCAGAAATCCTCGTGTTTATTTTTATTATTATACCTAACATTCATTTAAATTTCATGTATGGCCTGATTAGAACTATAGACTACTATAACTAACTTAGCAAGACAAATAATCTTTCAGTAAATAACAAGAAAATCTTTTTTTTAATTTTGGGGAATATTAAAACATAAACTTTATGTAATACTTAAGCCACCTACCCATTTAGTAATGTATATTTAAGAAAGAAATTTGGGTAATACATGAAATTTAAAATTTATTTTGAAATTAAAATTTCTTTCAGAATGTTAATTTCACTACTATCCAAAGGAAATACTTTAATGAAACAAAAGGATTAGAGTATATTGAACAGTTATGCATAACTGAATTCAGCACTGTCCTAATGGAGGTTCAGTCCAAGTAAGTTATGACTTAAGGAAAGTAATAAATCTCTTGTGTGAGTTCCATTCGGGCAAGATATTTTGATTATTTTGTTTTCTGTTGTATCGCTTTTGGAAAATGCCTGATTTATAATAGACACAGTAATTATTGAAACAGTAAAATAGCTAAAATTTTTTCACAAGGCAAATCTTACTTATGCAATATATATAGAATTTCTTCAATTTAGTCATAATCTATTGTCCTAATGGTTGCTGCTCACTTTACTTTGAAAGGAAAAGCTCAAATAGCTTCAGTAAACTAGAAAGTGAGAAAGTGAGGGCACAGGTGAAACACAGGTAAAGCTGTATTGCCATTACTTTTTACCTTTACTTTTTTTTTTTTTTAAAGATTTATTTATTTATGCATACAAGAGCTGGGGTACAGGCCAGAGATGCAGGGAGCGAGAGGACTCACCAAAGACAGAATGGGGAACAGAACAGGCGGATTGACTGAAATACACTCCTGAGGGGAGCAGCGGGCGAGACAGGAGAGGTCTACTGCACCATGTGGGTTGCTCCCTGGCCGGCCAGGGATAGAACTCGTATTGTAGAGGCTGTGGATTGCTTCATAGTGCGGTGCTTTAACCCCTTGCGCCACCAAGGAGGTCCTTTTACCTTTACTTTTAAAGGATTCAGGGTAAGACAGGAAATGATATTTTTGGAAAGGATAGTTCTAAAGAACATGCTAAATAGATACTTTCTTTAAACAACTTGGACCACTGGTTTACTTATTTGATCATGTTTACCTTCACCAAGGTCAAAACATACTTTCCTCCTAACTATCTTTAAAGCCCTCAGTCTCCAAGAGAAATCAAATATTGTACAGAAATGAACAATGATATAAGAAAATTAAAAAAAAAAAAAAAAAAAACAACTTTCAGGCTTTCTTTCAGTATTATCTGAGTACTTAGAAAGGCATATTAAAAATAGACACAAATGGGCCTCCCCGGTGGCGCAGCGGTTGAGCGCTGGGTTGCGAAGCTGCCCGCGGCCTCTGCGGCGCCGGTTCGATCCCCGGCTGCTCCCCGGCCACCGGAGGAGGGTCCCACATGGCGTGCAGACTTCTCCTGCCGCCCGCTGCTCCCCTCAGCAGTGTACTTCGGTCCTTCTGCCTGCTCTGCTCCCCGCTCTGGCTCTGGTGAATTCTCTCACCCTCCCGCGCTTCTGACTGTACCCAGTGCATGTATAAACAAAACAAACAAACCAGCAAACAAATAAATAAAGCATGCCTCTATAAAAAAAAAAAAAAAAAATAGACACAAATTATCATTGAATGTTGTCTCCATAATATGTGATTTATTGGGATTTAGTATTAGACTGCAGAAAGTTGTCTATTTTTAATCAATTTCCCAATTGATTAGAGGTTATATAGCCAGTTTTCAAAAATACGGAGTGCTTTGTGTGCTTCTTTCCTTTGAATTTAAGCACATATTTATAATCTCTTTATTATTTAGGTGAAGTGACTATTTCCTTTTTAACAATAATTTTTTTATTCTAAAAAAATTGTTCACCTTGCAGATATTACTGCCTTGCAGCTGTTGCAGCTTTAGTGAAGTATGTTGAATTTATTCAAAATTCAGTTTATGCACCAAAATCCCTGAAGATCTGTTTCCAAGGTAGTGAACAGACAGCCATGATAGATTCATCAACAGCCCAAAACCTTGAATTACTAATTAATAATCAAGATTGTAGGTAAGAGCAACCAATTTTTTTTTGCAAAACATAATAGTATATTATGTATTTTTTGTGAATATCTTTTTATTTCTTTAAATTGTTTGATAAACAAATATTGAACAAATATGTTTTTTATATACATGTGTTATTTCTACAACTTGGCTATTGTAAATAGTGCTGCAGTGAACATAGGAGTAAATGTATCTCTTTAAATTAGTGTATTTGTATTCATTGGGTAATACATAGGAGTGGGATTGCTGGATTATATGGCAGATCCATTTTTAATATTGCAAAATCTTCATCCTGTTTTCCTTAGAGGCTGGACTAATCTACATTCTCACCAACAGCAAGGATTCCTTTTTCCTCTCACCCTTGTCAGTACCTGTAATTTTGGTCTTTTTGATATGGGTCATTCTTACGGTTTTGAGGTGGTATTACAGTTTTGATTTGCACTTCCCTGATGATAAGTGATGATGAAGCATTTTTTCATGTGCTTTGTGGCCATCTATATGCCTTCTTTGGAGAAGTATCTGCAATGATGTTAACAAAGTGACTCTTGGAAAGCACTAAGGGTGGGGACTATTTACCATGGAACCAAATCATGTGATTAGAAGGTTGGAACTTTCAGTATTATGACTCTGCCTCCCTCACTCCAGGGAGGGGAGAGCAGGTGAAGATATAGTTCAGTCACAAATGGGCAATGATTTAATCAGTTGTGCTTATGTAATGAAATGTGCATAAAAATGAAAGAACAGACTTCTGAGAGCTTCTGGGTTGGTGAACATGTGGGCATTTGAGGAGAGTGCCTTTGAGAAAGCATAGATGCTTTGCATCTTTTCCCCATACCACGCCCTATGTGTCTCTTCCATCTTGCTGAGCTATATACTTTTGTAATACCTGTAATATAGTAAATGAAATGTTTCTTTGAGTTCTTTAGCAAATTAATTGAACATAGTGGGGTTATTTTTGGGAACCTCTGGTTTATACCCTATGCGTCAGAAGTGCAAGTATAACCTGGGCTTGAGACTGGTGTGTGAGTTCCAAGGAGGAGCTTGGGCACTTCTAAGCTGTGATTGATTGATTAGAACCACAGGTAATAACCTGGGCTTGTGGTAGATATCTGAAGAGAGTGTGTGTGGGGGGAGGTGGTGGGAGAGGGAGAAGGAGGGATAGTTTTTTGGGACTAATTCCTTCATGTGTGGAATTTGACACTAATTTGGGGTAGAAAATGTCAGAATTGAGTAAAACTCTAGGATACGTAGCTGGTATTCTGAGAATTGCTTGTTAGTGAAGGGAAAATTGCTGTTTCTGGAGGGATCAACTTTGGAATTGTTCATTCAAACCCTAATCCATATCTGTATCATTTTAGACTGGTCTACTATAGTGCCCCCTAATTTATTCCTCTGCTGTTTTGCTATCCTAGATATTAGTCTCTTTTCAAGCTACTGACTAGAGTGTGGTCCCTTTAAACCAGAAATCAGATCTTGGAACACTCCTGCTTAAAATTTTCCATTGGCTCCCATTACAGTTAGAATGGAATCCAGACTCTGCAATGGACTACATGCACTTTTATGTCCTTGCTTCTATCAGCTTCTTTAATCTCTCTTAATTTTTACCCTTACGTGGCAAAAAGCTTCACCAGCCTTGATGTTTTTTCTGTTTCTGAGTAGACAAACTTTGTGGACTTAAATTGTTATTCTGCTACTTTTTATTTATCTACATATTTTTTTTTATGCATAGAAGAGCTGGGGTGCAGGCCAGAGGTGTGGGAGGTGAGAGGATTCACCAGAGAAAGACTGGGAATAAGAACAGGCAAATCTACTGAAATACACTAGTCAGGGTAGTGGCAGGGGAGACAAGAGAGGTCTGTTGTGCCATATGTGGGTTAGCTCCCTGGCCAGGGATGGAACTCAGGTATCAGCTATGATAGCAAGGTAGTGCTGAGACTTAACCCCTAGGCCACCAGGGAGGCCCCCTGCTACTTCTTTTGAAACCATGGGCAAGTTACTTAATTTCTTTGTGTTTTAGTTCCTTCCCTTGTAAAATGTGGTTAATATTAATAATATCACCAACCTCATACCATGGTTGTTAGAAGTAAGTTAATATATGCAAAGTGCTTTGAACAATGCCTGGTACATGCTAAATGTTCAAAATATGTTAGTTATTCTCGATGTCATCCTTGTTATCATTCCCATACCATCATTATGATTTCATGGTTGCCTTCTTAATTTCCAAATACACAGACAAATGTTTCCTTTCCCCACCCTTTTTCCCCTCTCTCCCCAAGACAGGTGTTTCTTAATCTAACTAAAGCAGTTTTCCTGATCATTCTCCATACATTCCTTTTTTTTGGTTTTTTTTTTTGTTTGTTTGTTTTTTGAATTTCTGTTTCTGAAATTATTTTCTTCCTTTCTCTTTTACTAAGAATCCTTTAACTTCTTACATTGAACAAATCGATTGTATTAAATATTAAATACTCATTTTATCACTATAAAAGTTCTTTCACCCCTTAAGGATATATTATTATCTTGGTATTATTGATGAAATGCCACAGACTTCAACATTTTATATTCATTTTTTCTATGAAAAAAGTCACTAACAAGAAGATACTGTCAGTCCTTTTTAAGAGCATGGTTTATTGATTTGACAGAATATTTGTTAACTTATTTGAAATGTGGATTTTTAGACTTCATCCCAGACCTTCAGAATCAGAATCTCCATGTGATTTGTATGTACTTGTTTACGTTTGAGACTCACTACTCTAGATTATAGCTTAATTTAGAAAATTAGATTGTAATTTTCTTGGCTTTTCCTTTGTATGCTCAATGAAATTTTGCTATTTTGTGTTTTCAAGGAGTAATCATACTCTCTTTGGTGTTCTAAATTATACTAAGACTCCTGGAGGTAGTAGAAGACTTCGCTCTAATATATTGGAACCTCTTGTTGATATTGAAACCATTCACATGAGATTAGATTGTGTTCACGAATTACTTCAAGATGAGGAACTCTTTTTTGGACTTCAGTCAGGTAAATGAATATTGTCTCATTTTAATTAAATAAAATACATTTAATCAATTTTATTTAATTAATCAAGTTAAGAAAACAAAATACATTGTCTTGTTAATAAGAACAGTGGTCATTGAAGGATGATTAACCCTTATGACTTTATCTTAACTTGATTACGTCTGCAAAGATCCTGCTCCCAAATAAAATCACATTCACGGGTCCTGGAGTTTAGGTTATTAAAAGTATCTTTTGGGGGAATACAATTCAACCTGTACCATGAAATAAGAGAATTTCCCAAAGTATTTGTGTGTTAGTTCAATGGCATGTTGGCAGGACAGTTTATACTTCCCACATCAATCCCAGTTTTCTAACAACTTGCTCTATCTTCCATATCTGCAGTCCCCAACTCCACTACCCCACTTGGTGTTCTGGTAATCTGAGTGTAAGTGGTACATGGAAATCTTGACAGCATTTACAATCTGACCAGGTTTTTCTCAGTCCAGTTCCAAATACTTTTTTTTTGTGTGTATGTAGAAGAACTAGGGTGTAGGCTAGAGATATGGAGGGTGAGAGGGTTCACCAGAGACAGAGTGGGGAACAGAACAGGCAGATTTACTGAAATACACTGCTGAGGGGAGCAGTGGGCACGACAGGAAAAGTCTGCTGTGCCATATGTGGGTTAGCTCTCTGGCTGGGCATGGAACTCAGCCACATTGGTGATAGCACTGAGACTTAAACCCTTGGCCACTAGAGAGGCCTAATACCAGATACTTTTTTTTTTAAAGGTTTGTTTTTTTTTAAAGATTTATTTATTTATTTATGCATACAAGAACTGTTACAGACCAGAGGTGCAGGGGGTGAGAGGATTCACCAGAGAGAGTGGGAAGCAGAACAGGTGGAGTGACTGGAATACACTGCCAAGGGGAGCATTGGGTGAGACAGGAGAGGTCTGCTGCACCATGTGGGTAGCTCCCTGGCTGGCCAGGGATCGAACTCATGCTACAGTAGCTGTGGATTGCTTCATAGTGTTGACCTTAGCCCCTTGTGCCACCAGGGAGGCCCCCAGATACTTTTTTTTTTCTTTTTTTTTTTTTAATAGACGCATGCTTTTGTTTTATTTATTTATTTGTTTGTTTGTTTTTGTTTATACATGCACTGGGTATAATCAGAAGCACGGGAGGGTAAGAGAATTCACCAGAGCCAGAGCAGGGAGCAGAGCAGGCAGAAGGACCGAAGTACACTGCTGAGGGGAGCAGCGGGCGGCAGGAGAGGTCTGCGCGCCATGTGAGACCCTCCTCCAGTGGCTGGGGAGCAGCTGGGGATCGAACTGGCGCCGCAGAGGCCGCGGGCAGCTTTGCAACCCAGCGCTCAACCACTGCGCCACCGGGGAGGCCCTCAGATACTTTTTAATTAATATAATTTCTTCAAAATACAGGAAGTATATAAAATCGCACGTTCTGCATTTCCAATGTTGTTGAGTATATTCATTTTTCCCTTCTGCAGTGTCAAATTTTGGATAAAGATGACGAATAATCAAAATTGAGACCATTGGGATGTGTTAGTTTATTCCTAGTACATGTAAGATAAACAAAGACAATTAAAACAAGTAATATTTGCAGGTAGAACTACTATATTTTGTTTGTTGAGGATAATGTTTATGTAGCTCATATTTTAAACTGTTACACAAAATTAAAATGCTCAAATTTTTGTTTCAGTTATATCAAGATTTCTTGATACAGAGCAACTCCTTTCTGTTTTAGTCCAAATTCCAAAGCAAGACACGGTATGTTCATGTATGCTTTATATATTATATTATAATACATTATGTGGTAAAACTTTTCTTACCGTGGTGTAACAATTAGTTGTCTCCAAAAATGTTTTTGAGATAAACTAATGCCGTTCTCAGCAACATGGCTGGGACTTGAAGGGATTATGCCCAGTGAAATAAGTCAAAAGTAAAAAGAAAAATACCAGATGGTTTCACTTATAAGAGGAATATAGGGAATCAAGAAAAAAAGAATAACAACAAAAAACCACAACAAAACAAAACAAAAATAAACAGACAACTGTAAATCAGAGACATTCTGCCGGGGAGGGAAAGGGATCAAAATGAAGGCAGGAAGAGCACAAGGGACTATGGTGATGGTGCACGGTGAATTGGTGGTGGAAATTATATGGGGACTACACTTGAGAAAAGAAAGCAAACAGTGTAAGAAAAAAATAAGTAAATAGATTAAAAAATGTTTTGGAAAAGAATTTCCTTATTAAAATCTGGAGTATTTTCATTTTGTAAATAACCTTTTTTCACCCTCACTGTATTTATTATCCTATATGCTATAGTAAAATCAAAAGTTTTTTAGTTGAGGAATTGGCATATTTTCTCTAATAAAATATTTACCTAAAGAACTTATGTATAATTTAAAAAATTAGGCTATAATTACTTTTGCTTAATAAACAGATAAAATTATGTTAGATCCAAAGATTACAGGTGCTTCATATATATTTAACCTTTATGAATGAAATGTCTTTGGGTATTTTGCAAATTTAAATACTTAGTGTTAATAGGCACTTAAGAAAGTAAAGATGTTTTTCATTTTTCTGCTTAGGGTGAATTGAGTATTTAATGATAAATGTGCATATTTTTGCTCAGATGCTTAAAAAGGAAAGAGATTTTGTATATCAGCAAAACTGATTTAAGATTTGGTTACTTTACAAATCCTTGATGGTTGATTTGTGTTTGAAAAGTCTTTCCATATTGTAGGGATAACACTGTTAAGCTTCATTTATAATAAAAATATCAGTAGACAGAAACTCTTTGGCTTTTGGGTAGGCACAGAGTTGAAAGGTTCCTAAAAATTTAAAATACCTTATAATTCAATGTATACAAATGGAAGGTAACCTAAAGCAACTGATATCTGGAACAAATTCATTGTTTTGTTATTTAACTGATTGACTTTGGGGTTGTAGATTACATCTTTTTTTTTTTTTTTAAAGAACCATCCTTGCTCTTTTTATTTTTTTTATTCATACAAGAACCGGGTATAGGCATGCGGGAGGGTGAGAGGATTCAGCAGAGACAGAATGGGAAGCAGAACAGGCAGACGACCAAAATACACTGCTGAGGGGAGCAGAGGGCGAGACAGGAGAGGTCTGCTGCACCATGTGGGTTTCTCCATGGCTGGCGGGGATTGAACCTGCACTGCAGAGGCTGTGGACAGTTTCACAGCGCTGTTTTCAACCACCTGCGCCACCAGGGAGGCCCCTGTAGATTACACCTTTATTTGAATTCAGCCTACCTTCAAACAATATTATATCACTTCACATATGGTATAATAACCTTATAGTAGCTACAATAAAAGCAAAATTAAACAAGTGGACCTGCATCAAAACTAAAATTCCCCCACAATGAAAAAAACCATCGATAAAATGAAAAGACAGCCTATAGAATAGGAGAAAATATTTGCAACTCTTATATCTGAAAAGGAGTTAATATTAAAAATACATAAAAAACACATACAACCCAATAGGGGAAAAAATCCCTGACAATGATTAAAACATAGGCAGAGGAACTGAGTAGATTTTTTTCCAAAGAAGACAGGCAAATGACTAACAGATACCTGAAAAAGTGCTCAACATAAATAGTCTTCAGGAAAATGCAAATCAAACCCATAATAAGCTATTACTGCACACCTGCTACAATAATTTTCATCAAAAAGCCAAGAGATAACAAGTTCTGGCAAGGTTGTGGGGAGAAAGGAACCCTGTGCACAGTTACTGGGTTCACAAATTGTTGCCACTAGGAAAACAGTAGGGAGGTTTAACAAAAAATTAAAAATGGAACTCCCATGTGACCTAGCAATCCCATTTACAGGAATATATCCATAGGAAATGAGGACATGATTTGGGGGGGGGTATCTAAATTTTCTGCAATGGGTCATGTTCATTGTAGCTTTATTCACAACTGAAAAGTTACACAGACAACTTTAGTATCCATCAATAGATGAATGAATACAGAATAAGTAGTACACACACACACAAACACATACACAAACAATACCCCATTGAATACTATGCAGCCAAGAGAAAGAAGGAAATCACATCATTTGCAACACTATGAATGGCATTATGCTCAGTGAACTAAACCAAGCAGGAAAAGACAAGTAGTGCATAGTATTACTTATATGTCAAGTTTTTTTTTTTTTTAAAGTGTAACTCAGAACCAGAAGTAGAAGTGGTTGCCAGCATCTAGTGGGTCGTGGTAATAGGGAGAGGTTGGTAAAGGGCACAAATTTTTATTTATGAAATGAATAAACTCTGAAGATCTATTGTAAAACTTAGTGACTATTGGTGATAATCTTGTTGTATGCTTTAAATTTTCTGAGGCCCTTCCTGGTGGTGCAAGGGGTTAAGCACCACACTGTGAAGCAATCTGCAGCCTCTGCAGCATGAGTTCAAACCCCCACCAGCCAGGGAGAAACCCACATGGCTTGGCAGACCTCTCCTGTCTCTCCCACTGCTCCCCTCAGCAGTGTATTTCAGTCAGTCTGCCTGTTCTGCTCCCCACTCTGTCTCTAGTGAATCCTCTCACCCCCCACATCTCTGGCCTGTACCCCAGCTCTTGTATGCATAAATAAATAAATCTTAAAAAAATTTGCTGAGACTAGAACTTAAATCTTCTCACTAACAAAAAATTATATGTATATGTATGTGTGTGTGGGTGTTTGTGTGTGTGTGTGTGTGAGGTGATAGATGCATTAATTAACTGAATGGGAGAATCCTTTTTCAATGTATTTATGTATCAAATCATCATGATGTATACTTTAAATATATCACTTATACATCAATAAAGTAGAAATTAAGAACTTTACAACAGAACATTGCTATTTCTCCCTTCCCTACTATTGTGCCATTGTTGCCATACATTTTCTTTTGCATATATTCCATAGTTAACTTTTTTAAGATAATAGCTTTATGGAGCTATAATTCACATAGTGTATAAGTCACCCATTTAGAATATACAAATCAATCCTTTTTAGTATATTAGTAGAGTTATATAATAATTACTACTTTGGATTTTAGAACATTTTCATCACCCCACAGGCAGTCCTGTACCTATTAAAACTCTCTTTCCATTCTTCCTAATATTCTTCCTCTGGCTATTACTAGTCACTGTTCTACTCTGTCCCTCTAGATTTGCATGTTCTGGATATTTCATAAAACTGAATCATACAGGGCCTCCCTGGTGGCGCAGCGGTTGAGCGTTGGGTTGCGAAGCTGCCCGCAGCCTCTGCAGCGCCGGTTCGATCCCCGGCTGCTCCCTGGCCACTGGAGGAGGGTCCCACATGGCGCACAGACCTCTCCTGCCGCCCGCTGCTCCCCTCAGCAGTGTACCTCGGGCCTTCTGCCTGCTCTGCTCCCCGCTCTGGCTCTGGTGAATTCTCTCACCCTCCCGCGCTTCTGACTATGCCCAGTGCTTGTATAAATAAAAAATCTTTAAAAAAAAAAAACCTGAATCATACATATATAAACTTTTGTGACTGGAATTTTTCACTTAGCCTAATGCTTTCAGGTTCATATTGTACCATGTATCAATACTTGGTACTTTTTATTGATAAGTAATACCCTGTTTTATAGATGTAGAACATTTTGTTTGTCCATTAGTTGGTGACCATCTTAGTTTTTTAATTATTATACATAATGTTGCTATGAATATCATTTACATGTTTTTGTGTGGATACATTTTCATTTACTGTGGTATATACTTAGTGAAATTGATAATAACTCTGTGTTTCATTGTTTGAGGACCTCCCAGGCTATTTTCCAAACTGATGGAGTTGTTTTATATTCCCATTGGCAGTCTGTGAGGGGTCTGATTTCTCTATATCCTGTCAACTCTTGTAATTATCTGACTTTTTGATTCTAGCCATCTTAGTGGGCGTGAAGTGGTATACCATGGTTTTTGTTTATATTTCCCTGATGACTAAAGATGGTGTGCTTCTTTTCATTTACATATCAACCATTTGTATAGTTTCCTTGGAGAAATGTTTATTCATTCCTTTGCCATTTTTATTGAGTTTGTACATGATGTTTTCATTTTTCCTGGATATAAGTCTCTTACTGAATACATGATTTACAGATATTTCTACCATTCTTTGGATTGTCTTTTTATTTCTTGAAGCTATCCTTTTTACACGTTAATTCCCTACAAGAAGGATGAGTATATACTTTTTTTTCCTATCCTTTTTTCCCATGAACATTAAACATGGACATGTCCCCACCTTCCATCAGCCAGTATGGTGATAACTTTAATTGCATCAAAATTAAGGCAATTCATGCTATTGAATCTACACAACTTTTTGTATTTCTCCCCCAGAATTAATAACTGATTTTCTTTTTGGTTAAGTGTATATTTGACTAATTTAAGCATAAATCTTTCTAATATCCTTTTAGTATATTCATTCATCTTAGATTTATTCAGTTAGTTTCAGCCTCTTGAAAGAGATCTCTCCCATAGGTTCTTGATTTGTTCCAATCTGGATTTGTGCCCCCAGTTCTCTAGTATACAGCTACGATCCCAGGTTTATCATAGTTGTTTCTCCTGTGTTGGATCTCCTGTGTTTTGTGTCCCATGTCTTTCTTTTGGCTGACACTCTCCTTTTTTTTTTTTTTTTTTTTTCATTTTATTTTATTTATTTATTTTTTTTTAATAAATTTTATTGTTATATTCCCCATACAATTGCAGCCCCCCATTCTGACCCCAATCCCTCCCCTCCCACCCCCGCC